GTGTGTGTGTGTGTGTGTGTGTGTGTGTGTGTGTGTGTGTGTGTGTGTGTATATTACCCATATATCTCAGACATACACCACAGTTTATTGATAGCTATCATACAAGTTATAATAATAGTGTCGTAGCGTATCACTATGTATGTATACTATATTCTGTACACGTGAATTCCACTAAGTGCAAATTCACATCAAAATAATGATGACGCCATATTACTGAAAACTGATGACAGGTCCGGCCAAAACCTAACCCTAGAACCCTAGGGCTCAGTTCACAGTCCATCACAACCCCCCACTACGATTGCATGCCACGCGACCGTCGTGGCTGCCACCGTATCCACTGTGTCTGAGCACCGCCGCCTAGCGGCCTCTGCTCCGTATACGTCTAAAGCAAAAGAAGAGAAAACTGTCTACTGATGTACACCGCGTGTGTACATGCAAGAGAGACTTACTCTCAACCCCCCCCAACCCCCGTGGGAGGTTTAGTTCGTTCTCTCTACCTCCACCTTGGAGGATTTGCTAACAGAACTAACGTCGTGCCGGCAACTCAACTTCATCCTCAGACAACTGTAGCTCACCCCACACTCGAAGGCGTCCACCACGGTACTTCGCCGCCTGTGCGCAAGCGAAACACTTCTCAACCTGCCGTTTGAAGTGTGCCCGCTTATCCTTATCCGGGAACATGCGCTCCAAGAGTCCATCATACTGCGCAGGAAGCACATATTTGGTTTCAGATCCAGGTACCAGCGGTGTGTAACACGCCAAATCCGCTTTATCACACCACATTGCCACCGACCCCAGACCGAACTCATAGCGGTGGACCATGTGCGTGCCTTCTTCGTATGCCCCAGGCAGTGGCTAATCGCCTGCTTGTAACTATCCATGGAGTCCCAAAATGGCGAGTGATACAACAACCAATCTTCAAAGGGACCAGTCGGCCTGTACCTGACCTTCGTCCGAGCATTCGCTTCTCTCGAGAGATGTCCCACGTGGGGCTTCAACTCAGCCCGCAAGAACTTACGGTGCGTGCCGTCTGCCATCTCTACCACATGCGTAAGTGGTGCCTGCACTGACACCACCTTGTCCGGATCACTCCACCGTGCAGGCAAATCATGCGATTCGCCACGAAGCCGATACTGCAATAGCCGGGCCTCCACATTAGACTCTATGTTATAAACGTACTCTTAAGCAGAACGTAAATTATAAACGTACTCTTAATAGTACGAGGAACTTAAATTTCCTAAATGGTCTTTAATGGTTTTATTACTTAATACCTTTTCCATTTTACATATATGGATGAGGTCATTAAAAGGCCCCAGTAAAATACCAAACATAAGAGTTGGTCTAGTTCTATTAATACTATATTTAATTTCCAACTTTATTTATATCTGAATACTTCGGTAGCGAGATGGCTCAACCGAATATATGTTTCTAGGGACTATTAACGTTACCTAGTTGATCCTCCGATCAGACAACCAGATGTGCCAGTCTGATGAAGGCTAAGTCGGTAATTCTTGATAAGTGACAAGTTATTGGTTAAGACAATAACTAAGGACATCAAGAGTACTTTTCTTTTCTTTTTCTTTTTTTTCTAAATATAGGGATTTTATGAGTCTCTCAGATTCGCCCCAATGAAACATACCATAGGGATAACATTATTTATTTCAAAAATGGCAAGTATATATGATACATTGTATGAACATATAGTATGGCTCTCATAGTCGCTGTAGTGGTTCAGGAAAGATTGATGGGAAGAAGTGGTCAGTAAATTCCCGTTTGAAGCTTGGGCCAAGTGAGTCGACAATGGAAGATATGTGCTGAGTCAATTCGGGCCGGTGTTGACAAAACACTGTTACTTTCGAATGTTCCATATATTCGCTTGCTGACCTACTAAGCGAGGATGGGGGTAAGCCAATGCCGCACCAGACCACGGATGAATTCGGTATCTGTTGGCTGGCCTGGATCGGAAGTATCATAGTCGGAACCAACAAGCGCGATGATTTGGTTTGAACCGATATTTGGAAGTAGTACTTCAACAGCGTGATTAGCCGGAGT